CACACACACACACACACACACACACACACACACACACACACACACACACACACACACACGATACCTGGAAACCTGGTCTGAGCTGAGTCACAGATTAACGAGTTCAAACGTAATTAAAGGAAAACGGTTCGGTCTAAATATCAAATACCTGCTCTGATGAGAACCAGGATAGTCTCTCTTGGACTTGACGCCCTATTTTGTTTTATTTCCTTTTTTTAATTCTTTATTTATAATATTTTTAAAATATATCGTACTTGTTTACTTTTTGTATTCATATTTTATTTACTAATTACTCTGTATGTGTGTGGGTGGAGAGGTTGTATGTGTTTTTGTATGCTCATTAAAAAGCAATTTTTTTTTAAAAGAAAATAATAATAATAATAATAATAATAATAATAATGATAATAACAATAAAATCTCTGCAACAATAAGAAAAACCCTCAGTTTACCTGGTCAGTTAAAAACAGGTGTTTCTCCACGACGCCGAAGCGTCTAGCAATGGTCAGCAGCTCCTTCTTCTTCTCCTCCTCTCTGGGCAGGTTGGAGAAGAAAACCACCTGGCTGCCGTGACCTTTGACCTCCCTGACAGGTCTGTCCCTCGACCTGTCCGAGGACCGCTCGTCCTTCTGAGGGTCAAACATAAAAAGCTGCGTCAGACTCTGAGGCTGAGGCGAGCGACAGTTTGATGAGTTTTATTTGTTGAAACGACGCGTCACCTCGATGACCATCAGCCTCTTGGACAGGTAGAAGGTGATGGGTTTGCCGTACAGAGACGCCGGATGCTGCTCGTAGTAGTTCACCATGTCCTGAGCCTCCTCGTGACTGTTCATCTCCAGGAAGGCCTGAGGGACACGGAGACAAAACTCCAGGGTCAGGACATTTAAACACAGTCTGTCATAACACAGCACAAATTCAAGAAGACGTGAAGCCGTCTCCGAGCAGCGGAGGCCGACCCGGTCTCTGCACCTTGTTCTTCAGGACCAGGTGTTCCCTCAGGCAGCCGAACGGCTCGGTGAAGGCGAACAGAGTCTTGTTGCTGAGAGGCTTCCTGTCGTACTTCACCACCACCACTCTGCTCCTCAGCTGAGGACAAACAACATTTCACTTCACTTTACTGCAGCACCTCAACCATTATCACACACCTTTAATTAGCAACCCCGTCTAACCCTGAATCAACTATCAAACTCTCCGACTGTGTTCCTTTAGTAAACACAGTCGGAGAGTTTTCTTTCTCCAGATGGTTCGCTGCTGTGAGCCCTGACCTGTGTTTCCATTTACCCACATGATACAATTCAGTGCATTAATTAGATCTTAGATTAGATGAATGTTTACAGGAGAGTGACAGAGGAGCAGACCAACCTTATTCTGTCCCAGCTGGTTGTTTCCTGACAGACCGGGACCTCCACCTCCTCCTGACAAACACACTGAGCGTTAACACGTTTTCTTTGTTTCATATCGATCTCCTGCTTTTTGTAAAGAGAGAAGAAGAAGAATGAGGAAGAGGAGCAGAAGAAAAGGAAGAATGAGGAGGAGAAAAACAATGAGAAGTAGTAGAAGGAGAAGAAGAATGAGGAGGAGTAGAAGAGGAAGAACGAGGAGGAGGAGAAGAAGAAAAGGAAGAATGAAGAGGAGGAGGAGCAGAAGAAGAAGAAGAGTAAGGAGGATGAGGAGGAGAAGAAGAAGAGTAAGGAGGAGGAGGAGGAGAAGAAGAAAAGGAAGAATGAAGAGGAGGAGCAGAAGAAGAAGAGTAAGGAGGAGGAGGAGGAGAAGAAGAAGAGTAAGGAGGAGGAGGAGAAGAAAAGGAAGAATGAAGAGGAGGAGGAGCAGAAGAAGAAGAGTAAGGAGGAGGAGGAGAAGAAGAAAAGGAAGAATGAGGAGGAGTAGAAGAGGAAGAACGAGGAGGAGAAGAAGAAGAGTAAGGAGGAGGAGGAGGAGGAGAAGAAGAAAAGGAAGAATGAAGAGGAGGAGGAGCAGAAGAAGAAGAGTAAGGAGGAGGAGGAGGAGAAGAA